CCCCCCCCATTCAATTGTTCTGCCAATGAACTTAATTAGTCCAAATAAATCCATTAGCTAGCACAGCTGACACAAACCTACACATGTATCCTAGTCTGACCCTAGGCATAAACCCCGGTGAGTAGAATGAACATACTATAAAGTAATACCCAGCTGTGCCCATACAGCTCGCTGCATTCATCAATGTGCATTTTTTTTTTCCTCCTGCAACTTTTTTTTTTTTTTTTAATATTATATTACCTAACACTCATTCCCCGAGCATCATCACAACATTCTAAATGTAGTTTCCCATCTAGGACAAACTACATAGTGACCTAATCAAGCATGTTATCATCAATAATATTCCATTTCTACTTTCATACAATGTATACATACATATATGTTTTTTATCCTATCTTTGACCCTCTGCCCTTTCCCCCTCTCCCATTTTGGTGGATTTTCTATGGAGTGGAAGATGGTCTCCACTTTCAGCGATCAAGAGCACAGGCTTTGGGGTTGGACAAGCATGAGTTTGAATCCCAGTCCTGTGACTCACTAGCTGTGTGATCCTACATGGATTTAACCTCTCTAATATTACCATGGAAATGGTAATGTACCTACTCAGCAGCGTGTTTTGTTGTACCTTTACTGAGCACTTACTATGTGTCGGGTATTCAGGGACCTTAAATCTCTCTTAATTTCCCTAGCAAACATGAAGTAGATTCTATTATTTTCTCCATTAGACAGATGATAAAGCCAACACTTAAAGAAGTGAGGCATCTTGCATCAAGTTACCCGGTTTGTAAGAAGCAAGCCTAGGATTTGTATCTAGGTCATATGACTCTAAAGTTCAAGCTCTTAATTGCTATTTCTTGGTTGGTTTAAGAATTAACTAAAATAATTTATGTAAAGTACCTGTTACACTGTAGGTATTAGACATATTGTAGCTATTTATTATACCATTATGACTATTATAATTATAGTTATTAAACATATTGGATATGGGAGGGGGAATCTGTTCTAGAACATACCAGTATCTCTCAGAAATATTGTGTTCCTTGTACCATGCCTATCAATTAATGAGGATGACTGATGTTAAAATCAATTGCAACTGGGACTGGTGTGGTGGTTAAGGGTGCTGGACTCCCACCTGGCTGACCTCAGTTTGAGTCCCAGACCATGCTTTTTCTATTTTCCTTTCTTTCTCTCTCTCTCTCTCAGTCTTTCTCTCTTATCAAATTAAATTAAATTAAATTAATCTTTAAATAAATTTTAAAAATCAACGGCAAAATATTCCTCAATAGGACAAACAAACCCTGTAAATGCAAACTATGATCCATGTCCATTCTGAAGGCACAGAGAAGTTTGTCTTTTGGCAATTATGCTTGATGAGAATTACTGTTTTCTTCCTGTTTCTTCTTTAGTATGGAAACCTTACTCTTGCTGAAGACACAAAGGTTGGGACTACCATTTTGACCATCCAGGCTACTGATGGTGATGAGCCATTTACTGGGAGTTCTAAAATCCTATATCGGATTACAGAGGGAGATAGTGAGGGACGACTAGGAGTTGACACAGATCCCCAAACCAACACTGGATATGTTATAGTTAAAAAGGTAAGTAACCCATTTAATGGAATTTGTCTTTGTATGTGTATTAATTTGCTAATGACAGTGTGAGGAGAGGCATTGTATGTCCCCACTTAATATATACCGAGTGTCTGCACTCTAAAAAAAATTAAAACCATACTGCTTCTGTTGTTATAAAGTCATAAAATTATACAAAATTATAAGAAATATTTTGAACATTATCTTTAAAATTCAGTATTTTGAAATTTTGAAAGTTGTTTGTAAACTATCAACAACTATGGAGTATGAGCTAAAATTTTTTGCTATGTAAAGTAAATGTTTGTGGAAAAATGTAAAAATAAATAAATGAAAGAAAGAAAAAAAAGTTAGGATTCTAGTCCTGGGTCTTTCACTGACTAGTCATGTAACTTTTGCAGGGAAAAATATATAAAATATAGGTTGAGCAATTTTTTAGTATGATGCATACTTGGGACATGTTTATGCTAAAAATTTGTTTATCAGAATGCCTAGTTAAGTTTTCTTAGTTTAGCAACTTTTGGTGGAGGGGTAGTACCTAGGCCTTCACTTCCTTTTGCAAATAAGGGAAATTATGGATGAACAAGTGCTATGAACCTGTTAACCCTTTATCCTAATGTGCAATGTATAGATGCCTCTTGAATAATAACTGGAAATTGTTGGGTTTCCTTTTAAGGTTTTTGTAGATAAGTTTATCCTTCCTTCTCTTGCCCCTTCTAACTCTCATCTTTTATAGTATCGCTAAACCCACTGACTCTTGCTTTGTCTCTTCCTTTGTAAGGACAAAGGTAGTCTAGAGCCAAAGTCTTAATTAGTAGTTCTTGTTTCTTCCTTTTTTTTTTTTTTTGAGGCTTAATGTATTTATTTATTCTTACATTTTTCCACAAACATTTACTTTACATATCAAAAAATTTTAGCTCATACTCCATAGTTCTTGACAGTTTACAAACAACTTTCAAAATTTCAAAATCCTGATTTTTAAAGATAATGTTCAAAATATTTCTTATAATTTTGTATAATTTTATGAGTCTATAACAACTTGTTTCTTTATATAGGCTCCCCACAACCCTTCCTCAAGCTATTCCTATCTCCTTGTATAAATCTTGACTCTTTACCCCGTGGCTGTGTAAAGCATGTAAAGTGTTTACCCAAAGACTCAGTTGCAAGTGGCACTCAATGTCATCTAATATACTTAAATACTTTCCTAAGAGAAAGAGTTATGCCTCCCAGTTTGAAAAAAAATTTTTTCAGTTATAGTAATAGAGAATCTGCAAGCATGGTTAACTGCTTGAAGGCCTGCAGTGCCTTGTGCTAGAGATTATAAAATAAGTCTCTACAGGACAGTTTTGAGCTAGAATAAAGAAAAACTGAAAGTAGTGGCTAAAAATGAAGACAAAGTAGAGTAATTTCACAGAAAATAGACAGAAGCACAGGGGGAAAAATGGCTAATGTTGAAGCAAGCCCTGGGCCAGTCTCATTGTTATCATACATCCCACCTCTGATCAAGGGCTTCATTGGGTTTCGGAGGAGTATTTGAACCAACTCAGAGCATTAGCATCATGTGTGAGTCTGATATTTGGAAAAGGTACCATTACAAATTCCCCTTCTGTTCATGGCTGTCTACATGGAGGGAAGGAACCTCAGAAGAAAGAATAAAGGGAGGGGCAGTTTCATTTTCCGAGTTTGCAATGGGTGGCCCGTGAAGTGCCTTGGCATGATTCGTTTGTAGAGTTCAGGGTAGCTCTATCCTATCCTTCTCTAAGACTAGAGCTCTCTAGTTATCTAAGGGAAGACATAAACGTATCCATTCCAGTAGGAAATGCTTTCACATGGCAATTCTTTTTTTTTCTTTTTTGGTGATGTCTTGTGAACCAACCCAAGTTAATTTGGCTATTTGGGACTAACAGGCACTCTTAGGGAGATGTTGGTGAGCTCAATAATTATTTAGATGAAAGCTATAGGCATTCTCCCACACAACCTTGACATGAGGAGGTATGTTATAGCAGAGCAGGCCTTTGTTATATGGTATGAGGTTATGTTCCATGTGTCTAGAATGTTGCCTGGTTCATAGCAGAGGTTCAATAAACATTGCTTGACTGAATAATCAAATTCTGTTCCTTGAACAATTATTAACCAATAAGCACATAAGTGATATATGCTTTAGGCCTGTGAAATCCCAGCTTTCTGTCATTCAGACACTTGATAATAGTATTCAAGTGAGAGGATTTGTCTGACTGTTCATCAAAAAATTTTACTCAACAGAATACAACTGGAGCCCTGGAACTCTAAAGAGTACAAGTTACCATTGGGGTATGGACTCTCAATTAGGATCTTTCAAATGCTAAGTAGCAACTAACCCTGGGATGGAAATTCTTGATTAGGATATACCAAAGGTTAGCTGACTGCCCTGTAGAATATATTGGATTGTTGGAAAAGTCATGATGCCTTTTTTGCACAGAAGAACAGAAAAAATACATCATAACTTTTCTCACAACCCAATAGAATAAGACTATGACAGATATATACATTTGCACGGCTCTTATTGAAGTACCTTAAATTAATTCCATTCTGTAATGTAGTTTCTTAAGTAGAGCTGAGCCTTACTACTACTAAATCCTGCCTATAAAACCACTGGGGTGGGGAGTGGGGGTGGGGGGATCATCAGATAGTATAATGTTTACATTACTGGACTCCCACATGGCCAACTGCAGTTTGAGTCCTAGACCCAGTGGCTTCAAACTCATGCTAGGTGCGTATGCATGCATGCCTGAGATCCCAGAAGGGGAATGGAGAAGGGATTGCAGTGTGGCCATCCCCCAGGGGTGATTTCTCACTTTCTGTCTCTCTGGTGAGCACACACATTGTATAGCAAAAATCTCTCTTAAACAAACAAACAAAAAAACAAATTATAAAACCTACCAGAGAACTACAACTACTACAGAACAGTCAATCATTTTTAAGTATTTAAACTCTGATTCTTTTTTCTTCCCTTTTCTTTTTTTAAGTTGCCAGAGGGTGCATGTGCTTTCCAGAGAGAGAGGAAAAAAAAAAAAAAAAAAAAAACACACACACACACACACACACACACACACACACACACACACACACACACACACACACACACACACACACACACACACACACATAGACTAACAGAGAGAGGGAAAGCAAGAAAGCATTCTGATGGGAGATGGCCACACCACAATCCCTTCTCCATTTCTCCCTCCTTTAGGGATTTTTGGCCACATATGCACATACATCAGGAGTGATTTTTCAAGCTTCCAGGTTTTCTATTTAAATAAGCATAGGCCTGTGGGATCCAGCTTCCTTGACCACTAGAGTATGGGGCTGGGCCTAACCCAAGTTTCATAACTGGAAGTCTATCTGCGACTGTTCATCTGAGTTACAAGTGTGCTAATAGCTGGTAAAATTGATAGAAGAACCCATGCTTAACAACTATAGTCTATTTCTCTTTACCAAGAACTTCTACATACGCTCTCCTGTGCTTCTCACACTGTCTCTGAGGGAGGTGGAAATAAGCCCCACTGCGTAGATAAAGGTTCAACAAGGCACAATCAAGGCCCCCAGATGATGGAGAGCTGGGATCCAGTGACCCTAGGCCTTTGGTTCTTCTTAGAAAATTTCAAATAATGAAAATAGACCCCAGGCCTATTTTCCAATCTGTAATGAGTGAAATGTAGTCTTTTCCTAGTAATGATATTAGAGGATTAAATGCAAAAATGCATATAGCATCTGGCATATAATATGCTCAATGCATGTCTGGCATTATCTTAATTCTGATGAGTTATATCCAGGATTCTACTTGAGGTCAGATGTGCTTCCCCTTCTTGCCTAAGGGGTCCAAACTTGTATGATTCAAGAATCAAATAGAACACTCTGCAGATTGCCACCTCAGTCTCTCTAAAACATAAAAAAAAAAAAAAAAAAAAAAAAAAAAAAAATGGAAATAGATAGCTTTGACAAGTGCCCAAAGCAATGCTTCAGGTTAAACAAGTTTCAGAAATGCTGCCCCACTCTGTATTTACTACTGCCCAGAGCTCTGACTCTGTGATACATGACATGTTGAACATTTCTTATCCAAATTTCTGGACTAAAAGTGTTTCAGCTTCAGCCTTATTTATTTGTTTGATATCCAAATATTTGCATGTAGGAGGTGTCTTGGGCATGGGACCCACGTTTAATCATGAAATCATTTTTCATATATACCTTATATACATTGCCTGAAGGTAATTTTATACAATATTTTTGTATTGTAGCATCTTAACTGTGTTCCATCACATGAGGTCAGATGTAGAATTTTCTGCTTGTCCTGTCATGCTGACACTCAAAAAGGTTCAAATTTTGGAGCATTTTAGACTTTGGATTTTCCCTGTTTCAGACTCTTGGGACCAAACAGGTTTTATAAGAAGGATGACTATTTTTTAAGCCCTACTCATCTCATAAATGATTTTGAGGGTGTCCCCTTTCTTGAAATTTAGCGTTTGGCTCTGGTCTTAATTTTTTAAATGCAAGTTTTACTACTTCACTATTATAACTGGTCCTTTTGGATTGTCTGTTTATGATCTATTTTTAACCAGCCTGAGTGTCATTTGTAAGACTAATACACACTTTCTTCTCATCACTGATCATTGGCAAAATGCTAAATATCCAAGTCTCAACCCTTCTCCCTTACCGCTTTGTCTCTGCCTCCAGGTTTAATCTAAATCACTGGTTATGACCTTTCTGGGAGTCGTGTGCAGAAGAGAGATTGTAGCAGCTGGGCAATTTATTTTTCCAGTTTACTTATAAATATATCTCACCAGACAGAATCAAGGCTCTCTCAAGAGGCCATTATGGGTCTCTTGATGTGACTTTGCAGAAACATCCCCGTGCCACGAAAGACAAAGAAAGCATGTTGCTTTTCAAACCTTATCCTTAATTCCATTCTGCTGGTTATCACTTGCTAGTTTAGGGTCTTCTATTGCTAACTTTTTCCCTGGAAGGTTTGGTTTGGTGTATCTGCAGGTGTGGAAGTTAAATGGACAGATGATTCAATGGCAAGCTGCTCCATTTTCATTTGCTCTTACATTTGATAAGTGTATGAGGAGCAGTGGCATCGTTTACTAACTGGTATCTCTGCTTTGGCTTGGATCACCTCAAATCCATCCCTTATGCAGCTGCTTCCAGAGTCATCTTTCTAAAACACAAATCTGACCTTGTCAGTCTTGGATTTAACACCTGTCTCGCTCATCAAGTATGAAGTCTCAACTCCTTCCTTGACATATACTGTCTTCTCTCATTCTACTCTTAGCCTCATACATTCTGTTCTAGAAACACAAACTACTTCTCATTTGCAGACATATTTCCTCATTTCCTTACTCCTTTGCCTCCGGAGGCCATAGGGATGAGCTAGAAAAGCCAGGGAGATTTTAGAAAGGACTTGTTTGGTTGTGAGGATGGATATGCCTCCTCATCCTGAGCATACAGATGGCTGTGTGCCTCCTGACCTCTTCTCTTCCCATCTCCCTCTCTGAGACTTGGCTTGACTGTACTGGAAAGTAGGAGACAGCTGCACCCTTTGTGCACTTTGCAAGCTTGCTCTGCGAGCTCCTGCCTTCCTGTTTAGTCTACCAGGCTATTAACTCACTTGGATGCCACTGTTGTCATCCCCTGAGTTGGGTTCCTGGGAATTGAAAGTCCAGCTTGCTTCCTCTTACATCCCATCCTTAGGTGAGGCTCCTTAATCAGACCATGTATAGTGAATAAGAGTGCATTGAGGAGCCAAGCCCTGCAGAAAATGGGAGTTTTATCTATGAAAAACCTTGTTTTTCACACATACCTGGCTTATGAAATTCTATATCCTGTAATTTGAACAAATGCCTTTTGCTTATTTTGAGTCTTTACACATATTTATTTCTCTTTCACACAAATAATCTTCCCACTGCATCTATGGACTAGAAATTGAGTCTCAATGTTTGTTGCATAGGGATGGGGAGAAGGGTTCCAGGAAAGTGGGTATATTCTCCATAACCTCCCTCTCCTTCAGAGCCCTTTGCATTGGGTTGTTGGAAAAGTGATGACACATTTTTGCATAGAAAAACACAGAAAAATACACATGACTTTTCTGACCACCCAATATATCCAGACTAACATATTATGGCTACTTCAGGAAAGAGATTAGAAGCAAAGATGAACGTATGCAATCCTTCCTCTCATGGAGCTTGCAGTCAGTAAGAATCTAACACAAACTATTAGAAATCTGACTTTAGGCTGGGCATCTTTGGGGTAGCACAAAGCCTGTAGAATTCTTCCCTACAACTCAAGAGAAGGGCAATGATGAACCCAGCACAGAGGAACTCTTGTGGACTTGTCCTTGTCTACCAACATTGGTGCTCAAAGGAGCCAACTCAGATTACAAGAAGAGGAGGTACCCTGGAATCAAGATGGCAGCTTAAGAGTAAAAGAACACTGGGTTTGTTTCTTATTTCTTAACTTTTGGGGAAAGTCTCATTTTTAAAAAGTGATAAATTTGATGTCAGGTAAAAAAAAAAAAAAAGAAAGAAAAAAGAAAAAGAAGTCTGGGACCAGCAGTTAGCATAATGGCTATGTCGCTGGACTCCCATGTAGTTAACCGTGGTTTGCGTCCCAGACTGGTGGTTTAAAACTCGTGCCGGGCGTGTGTGCGTGCATGTCCAAGATCCAGAGAGGAGAATGGAGGAGAAGGGATTGTGGCATGGCCATCCCCCCTTGGGGGGTGATTTCTTGCTTTCTGTCTCTCTGTTCCTCTCTGTCTGTCTGGCAAGTGCACGCACCCTATAGCAAAAACCTCTCAAACAAAAAAAAGAAAAAAAGAAAAAGAAGTCTGCAGATAAGTAGACCTGCACAGTTCAAACCTGTGTTGTTTGGGGCTAGAATGTACTTTCTCCCAATCTATGAATTGTCTCTTCACTCAATTATTTTCCTGGCTGTGCAAAAGCTTTTTAGTTTGATGCAACATAATTTGTCTATTTTTGGTTTCTTTGTGCCTTTTGGTTTATATTGAAAAAATCGCTAAGACCAACTTTATCCTCTGCTTTCTTCTAGTAGTTTTACAGTTTTTAGTTTATGTCGAAGTCTTTGTTTCAAGTTCATTTTTGTATAAGAGTCTAATATGTTTCTTTATGTGGATATCCAGTTTTCTTAACATCATTTATTAAATGTATGAAACTTCAAGGAACTTAGAGAATGAATCTTTTAAGAGGGCTAGTCACCCAAAATTAATTTTTCTCTCTTTTTTTCTTTGTATAGCCTCTTGATTTTGAAACAGCAGCCATTTCCAATATTGTGTTCAAAGCAGAAAATCCTGAGCCCCTGGTGTCTGGTGTAACATACAATGCAAGCTCTTTTGCCACACTCAGACTTATTGTGACAGATGTGAATGAAGCACCCCTATTTTCCCAAAACACATTCCAAGCAAAAACCAGAGAGGATGCGGCAGTAGGCACTAAACTGGGCAAAGTATCTGCCAAGGATCCAGAAGGTTTGGACATAAGGTAAAGGAAAGCAGGCCGAGTAGGCCTAGGTGTGTGCTGTCACCAAGGCATGGGGGGAGAGAGGGAGTGCTGGGAGAGTGCAGAAGCTGCCCCGCACTGACCCTAGGGCTGTCTGGTAATGCTAATGGAGCCACAACCTCGAGTAATGTTCCAGTGCACTTGGTGAACTTGGCCTTGGTTCATGCAGGTGTTAGGACCCTGGAGGGCAGTACTCCAATAGCTGTGGCTCAACAGTGAGAATTCAGATCTTGACAAGTAGAAGCAGCATTAGATTGCATTCTAGCCCACTTGCCAGAGGTCCCAGCTGAAAGCTGGTGAATTCCAGAGCTGGAGTTCACTTCCTGGAGACTGGGTGAGCCAGAGCCAGGCCCTGTGCCTTACACAGTCATATTTGGGGAAGATTCTACTCCTTAAGGTGATCTGGAATTTCGGAAAGAGAGAGAATGAAGAAAAAGTTCAACTAGATAGACTACGCCACCTTACAGGGCTCAGGGAATCTTCCTGATGTAGAGTTCACATGTTCCTTGGATCTGCAGAGAGTTGGTCTGGCATAAGACTCATTCCAGATCCTATCCCTGGAAAGACTAATGCTCAGGTGGCTAATCAAAATATGCAAATATTTCCATCTTAACACTTCTTAGTAATTTTTTTCCTAGTGCAATAGGAGCCACAGATTTGTCTTAAGAATGTGTAGTAGTCACTAATTTACAATATGTGTGTGCATATTCATACCTGTATAATATCTATAAAATCTTGAGAAGAAGATTCCTCATGGCTCCTGTGAACTAGTTATTTCAGGGGACAAGAGAAATGAAGATTTTCTGCTGATAATTCAGCCTCCAGCAAACAAGCTAGCGTGGCAGGAGAGGTGAGGCCTTCCTTCAGAAGAAGATTACTCATGGCTCCTGTGAACTAGTTATTTCAGGGGACAAGAGAAATGAAGATTTTCTGCTGATAATTCAGCCTCCAGCAAACAAGCTAGCGTGGCAGGAGAGGTGAGGCCTTCCTTCAGAAGAAGATTACTCATGGCTCCTGTGAACTAGTTATTTCAGGGGACAAGAGAAATGAAGATTTTCTGCTGATAATTCAGCCTCCAGCAAACAAGCTAGCGTGGCAGGAGAGGTGAGGCCTTCCTTCAGAAGAAGATTACTCATGGCTCCTGTGAACTAGTTATTTCAGGGGACAAGAGAAATGAAGATTTTCTATTGATAAGACCATGCCACTTGGTTTTCTATTTTTTTTTTAAAGAAAAACAATAATTACATTTTTTTTCATTTTTTTGGTCTTTTTTTTCTCTTTCTTTGTTGTTGTTTCTCTCTCTCTTTTTCATTTTCTTTTTTCTTGTCTCTCCACTCTTCAATATCCATTTAATGTGTTTCTAGATGGATCTAAGGGCACTGTAGCTAAACATCCAAATACTATTAGGGTTAACATATTCTTCAATATCTACTGAGTCTGCTGCACCAGCAATCACAATAGAATGGCAAAGAGATTCCAGATCACCTCTTTCTGCTTGCTCCTGAACATTCAGATTGAACTTCAAGAATTTGAAAGAAACACACCATCCATCAGATGACAAGAAATCACCGTAGGACCACAAGAAATATGGGAAAGCAAGAAAATACCTCTCCTCCAAGG